TTTTTTTTTACGCCCATAGTAAGGTTTTTACTCAAGACAATGTTTATGGATAAGTTTACACAAGAATATTGACCAGACTTTATGGTAGAGCTCGCTACTTAGATTTTATGCTTACACTATAAGCTCGAACCACTATAATCCGGTGTGTTCTTTCTTTTTACTACTTCCGCATTTTAATTTCCGCATTTATTATTGTGGTGATTTGGATTGTGTTTTGGTTTTAAAGTTTTCCAATTCACCTCTCTCTTTAATTAGCTTGGGACTAAGTTCAAGAGGGCCTAACATCCCTAACGAACTTTCACAGGTACGGCGCTGACACGACATTATAATTTATAAATCATACATAAAAATTAAGAAAACAATCAAAGCATAACATTTGAAATTACAAAAAAAAAGTAACATCATTTGTAGCGTTGTAGAATATAATATAAAATAAAAGTAAGCATTAAATGTCTAGGACAACAACAAAATCATAAACATATATTGTCTAGCACATGAAGTTTCAACTATTCAATTGAAAGAATGATATGATTAGCTTCGTCATTGGTTTGTCTTTGAACTTCTATATCATCTTAAATAAATATCATAGCTTCTAATTCAGACTCATCAAGTGAAAGATTAGCAATCTCTAATATTTTCATATCATCAAGAGACTCAAATCCATTTAGGAAATGAGAGAACCTCGCTCGTAGCCGCGGTAGTAAATATGACAGATCTTTTTTTTTAGATTTTTTTTTTTGTTTTTCAACGTACACGTGTATCAGATACGCATGTCCTTTTGAAATTAAATAGTATTTTAATTGGATACGGCTAAGTCGTATCCAACACGTATCGGTGCCGTATCAGAGGCGTATCCGTGTATCGGTGTATCGGATATAGCACACCTTCATAAATAGGTGTATCGGTGCAACATAGCTCTCTAGTCTTATCAACAAGAAGAATATCATCAGCAAAAAGCATACACCAAGGTACATCATCTTGCAAATGTCTAGTGAGAACATTCATGACTAAAGCAAAAAGATATGGACTTATGGCTGATCCTTGATGTAATCCAATCGAAATAGGAAAATACTTGGTCAAACCATCTTGTGTTTGAACACAAGTAATAGCTCCTACATACATATCTTTAATGATTTGAATATAAGCATTATTAACTCATTTCTTTTCAAGAACTCTCCATAGCACTTCTCTTGGAACTTTATCATATGCTTTCTCTAAATCAATAAATATCATATGTAGATCCTCCTTATTCTCTCTATATTTCTCTATCAAACCTCTCAATAAATGTATGGCTTCCATAGTAGACCTACCCGGCATGAATCCAAATTGATTTTGAGAAACATTAGTATCACGTCGCAACCTACGCTCCATAACTCGCTCTCATAGTTTTAAAATATGACACATTAACTTAATTCCTCTATAATTTGCACTTCTGTGCATCACCTTTATTCTTAAAAATATGAATTAACACACTCATTCTCCACTGATCTGACACCTTTTTAGTCGTCAAAATAGTATTAAAAAGTTTAGTAAGCCAAAAAATTCCTTCATCTCCTAAGCATTTCCATATCTCTATAGGAATATCATCAGGTCCATTAGCTTTTTCACACTTCATTTTCTTTAGTCTCTCTAACTTTGGTTTTACTTATACGCCGATAAAAGCAAAAAATTTTATTTTCATTTAGGGTGATAAAGTCACTAAGGTCAATTGTATTTTCACATTCTTCATTAAAAAGTTTAGCAAAATATCTCATCAACCTTTGTTGAATATCTTCTAAGAAAAGTACTTTTTGATCTTCATCCTTAATACACTTCATTTGAACTAAATCCTTACTACTCTTATCTCTTTGTTTGGCTAACTTATACTTATATCTTTCTCCCTCCTTAGTATCTAATGTATTATATAAATCATTAAAAGCTAAGCCCTTTGCATCGCAAATAGTTTTTTTAGAATCCTTATGAGCCTCTTTATAGCTTTTCCAATTATCATAATTTTTACATCTAAATCAATTTTTATAACAAATATTCTTATTTTTTATCTTTTCTTGCACATTTGGATTCCACCACAAACTATTTTTACTATTAGGAGCTTTTCCCTTTGAAATTTCAAGCACATATTTTGCAATATTTTTAATATCACAAGTCACTTTTTCCCACATAATATTGGCATTCTCATGCACAGATAGAATCTTAAGATCTAAAATCTTACTCTGCAAACACTTTTATTAATATTCTTTAAATGCCCCCATCTAATCCTAAAAAATCGTTTTATTTTATTTTTTTTATTTTTTGACCATTTATTTTAATGTCCAAAACTAATAATCGATGTTGAGTACATAAATTTTCACTCGTAATAACTTTACAATCTTTGCAATCTAAACGATCTAATTTTCTTATAAGAAAATAATCAATCTGCTTTTTACTAAATCCTTACTTGTTATCTTGTTTTTTATATGATTCCTTATTGTGCTTCTTCTCTCATCTTCATTTAATTTTCTACCTAGAGTTTTTATTACTATCCTAACATTTGAACATTGGCTCTTCCTTAGAAGTGGAAAGTCAAAGTGGCTTCTATCACATCATCAATTAATGTCCGGCTAAGACAAAGGCATGGTTTTAAAAATTGGACTGGACTGGCCAGTTCAACTGGGGACCGGTCCGGCGACCAGTCAGGTTGCCTAATAAAACCGTTTAGAGATTAGATAGGAGAAAAACCAGATCATTTACTGATTGAACCGGTTAATTGGTTATAAAAAAATCGCCTGGTTATTATTTTGGTAATTTGCAGCCGCCTGTTAATCGAATGAGTGAAATTAGTTAGGGAATTACTTAAAACGTGCCCTAAGAGAAGAAACAGTGAAACACACACAATCAAATTCCTCTACCAAATGCAAAATGGTGAAGCTCTCCGGCTCTTCGTCCTCAGCATTTCAAAGGTTGCCGCTCGTAGTTTAGACTGTCAAAGCCCTATCTAGATTCTATCGAAGAGCTGCAAAAGGTACTCTCCATTATTTCTGTTTTCAGTTTGTGTACATTGTACATTGTTGGCACTGTTTCTCCTCCCAGATTTCTTTTCTCAGCTCATTTTTACTCCAGCTTTGCTAATCTTCCTTCCTTGCAATTTCAGAAAATTTGAACGTTGTGTTATTTGTGCTTCCATGGCTTGCTTTTAGATTGCATGCGCACTCTAAGTATGGTATTACTTGTGAAAAGAGCTGGTGCATCTCTAAGCATGGTTTGAGTGTTTTACTTTTATTTGTTTGATAGAACTTTATCCATGGAAAGTGAAAAGAAACATATAAAGGAAATTAGCAGCCCCAAACCCACTATTGAATCTATTACAGAGAGGGAGCTGGTCATTTTAGCCAAAGCAAATGTTCGAGACCATAGCAGGTATATCCACTCTGTTTTTAACCCAGTAGAAAATATTTCACATTACAATGAAGTTGAGGTTCAGCCTACTTCCTTGAAGAGTCTGAACAAGAAGAATTTGGATATTAAAACCAAACCATTTATTAGTCCAGAGACCACTTTTTCAAAGGCTGAAAAGCCCCATAAGTCAATCTCTTCAAACTTAGCTTATTGATAACTTTGTCACTCCAATAACTAAGATGTGATCTCATGAGTTTTATGCATCATAGTTTTTAATGTTGTTTAAATTTTATCACATATTTGGAATCATAAGTCATAACATCATTATTATGTACATTTTTAGTAAAATAAGTATTTATTATGCATCCAGTTGAATCCCGGTTGAACCCTGGTCGAACCATTCCTTCTTCCTGATCATTTTCTGGTTCGATTTTTATGACCTTTGGAAAGTATACATTAATGGATGATATAAAACTCTCTTTTTAGATTAATATCATTTCACCTCAAGGTGCTCTTCTTGTTTTCTATCTTTAAAAGGTTCTTTGATGTCTTTACAGTTAGATGGCTTCACATTCCTTCAAAAAAAAATTTTTTTTTTCTTGTCCACATAATTTTATTGTGCTGCTAATAAGTTGTCCAAAACTTAACAAACATTCAAACAGTGAAGTGAACAATACAGTGATGATTTATTGTTCCACAATTATAATGGAAAGAGGGAGAATACCTTGAGAAAAGTCACAGACGTGTGTTGCTTGCAGAGCTGCTCTAGATGATGCAATATTCCTTTTGAATCTTCATCTGATTGGTCATAGAATAGTGCCAGCGACAGTCCTGCCAAACATAGATGCCATGAACTATGTATTAAGAACTTAAGTAATTTACAGATTTTAGCAGTTGCATAATAACTTAACATTCTCACTAAAATGTGAATCAAAACAATAGAGAAAAAGGCTAAAGTGGAATTTGCACAATTTGTATGATATCACTTTAGTTCCAACGATCTAATGTGTTCAATTTATTCTTTTAACTAATTAAAAATGATCCAAAATAGTCTTACTATTGAATTATTTTGGATCAATTTTGAGATGTCAATGGGTTATTTTGAATCTAGTTTAAAGAGTCGAGGAATTAAATTAGAACATTAAATTGCTTCAAATCAAAACTACCTCCTATAAATAGTCTGAATCATTTTGATCTTTTTTTCCTAAACAGTGGATGATATGAAGAGTGGTCTCAATGTCATGCCAACCTAACAATTATCAAAATCCATTACATGAAGCAAGAAATTAAAAGAGGGGAATATTATCAAATGCATCATATATCGTCATCATTAGCCTTATACAAATACTACTTGGGGTTAGCTACGTGCATAACATTAACATGTAGCACACAAAAATTGCATTTTCTTCACATATTACATGGTAGATGGAATGATAATCAGTAAGGCATATGGGCACAGGAAATGTGTCTCTTATGCAAGCACGTTTTAAATGTAACAAATCGCCAATCTCCATATGCTTTGGCCAGATGCCACATAGTAATGTAGCAGTCCTTAATTTTTTTAAGAATCTCTAATGCTAATGACACGTACCACATGATGTGATAACACTACGAAACTGGTCTTTTGTAGTGATATGAACGGCAGAGTCATCTGCCATCTGTTTAAGGCCTTCACTTTGTCTTCGCCTGACATGCGCTTTAGCATCCTGCAAGGCTTTGTTTACTGTTTCATCTCCCGGCATTTCAAGAGCCAATACTTCATAATCTTTTATAGAATCTTCCCACCGATCCAACTAATACAAGATTCAAGATGTGACAACCTTTAGCTTCCAGATAAAGAAATTCATCTGACAAAGGATAAAAGGTTCTGCTCACCTTGACATTGCAGTCAGCCCTCCTTAGCCGAGCCTTGCTGTACTTGGGCCGCAAATTAAGAACAACATTGCAATCTTCAATGGCCTTTTCCCATTGCCCAAGTTTCGACCGGCAAGCAGCTCGGTTGCATAGTAGGATTGTATTATGGGGGTCATGGTTAAGACCACTCCCATAGGCAAGGCATGCCTCTTCAAAATTCGAGGCCTTGAAGAGATCATTACCCATTGAGCGAGCTGATGCCACTGACCGAGCCTTTCGAGCAATAGCAGCAATCTCCCTGCTGCCAGGATCAATCCGTGCAGCCATTTGAGCTAATGAAACAGCACTCTCAAATCTTCCTGTAGCCATATCAACCTGTGCTCTTATTGAAAGGTGATATGCATTGCTAAGGGCGCCAAAGAACTGTGTAGCAGCATCAGTTTCGAATTTGGGTGCATCAATCATGGTTTCCTCCGCATCTTCCTGTCTGAGGAGCATCAGAAAGGCCTCCGCTTGGTAGGCAAATACCTTCAATGCAAAAGAAAAAGGGAGAAAATACTTCTATTAGTCAGGCTGCTTAATAAAATTTTTAGTAAATTGGAACAAAAGTGTACCCAACCAATCGGGAGCATTTTCTTTGTCGTTTACCACTGTATCGGCTCTTAATTTTTGGGGTACACGTTGTGTGTTTTTTTTCATCAGCGACTAATATTTTTTTTTCTAAACTTTACAGGAATAAATATTTAAAGAAACTGGAGATAAACCTGTGGAGCTGAATCAGCACCGGTGGAAATGGCAGACTGACTATCTTTTAATACAGCATTCCAGTCCCTCTGTTTCCTTGCTTCACTGCACTTGCCAATGAAAACTTGCACAGCCTTAGCTCTAGAGATGTCTTCATGACTGGCTTCACTCTTTGCTAGCTTATAGTGATTGGCTGCTCTCTCTGGTTCACCCAATCTAATTTTTTTATTTTTATTTTTGTGTAAGTTCATAGCTGGATAGGAAGAAAAAAATACACTATTTCCTTGGCCAATACATTAATCAAATGGTTTGAAGAATAACAAATATCTTGGTTTAAAATCAGAATAGCATAAATTTTAAAGGAGAAGTGCTTACGAGCAGAACTGCATGCACTTAAAAGGGATAAACTAACAAATTTATGATACATGGGTGAGTAATCTTAACATAACAAAACTTCTTACAAGATCTCAAAACCTTTCATTGACATTTGCTGTAAGCGGGATTCAGGAAATTTTGTAAATTCAGAATCAAGTACACATTGGAGAAGTTAAATTCTTAAAATGATTTGGCTTGATAAATGTTAAAATTGGTTACACCTTCATAATGTGTTCCACAAATATTTTTAAGAGTTAGAATTTAAATGAAGGAGAAACAGATGCATAGTGAGAAGTGGTGTTACTATATTAAATAGTACTTTCTCAGGATTTATTAAATCTGTGATTCAGTCTAAAAGGATGGAGGATAGAATTTAAGAAAATCATAGGATCTCAAGTGATTCCACAAATTATTTGACAAGATTTAACCGAATTTTGGTTAATATAATTGTAACCAAATAGCTCCTAAGCATTCAAGAAGAAATTAATTGACTTGAAGGTTTCATTTGTGACAGGTTTCTAATTATTTTCTAAAATCATTTTTTATTATAAAAAGTTATAGTTTTTGATAATTGTATACTAAAAAGATGCTTTAAAAGTAATTAAAAAATATTCCAAGTTTTATTTGAAACAACTTTCATATTATTTTTTAAAATAAAATTTTATTTTTTAAAAAAAATTTCTAGTTCAAAAAATTTTATACTAAAAAATTATTTTAGAAAGAATTATGAAAGCTGTCCCAAGCTTCATTTGAGATAATTTTTTTGCTGTTTTTTAAAATATTTTTTTAATTAAAATTTTTTTACTAAAAAATAATAATAAAACTTATCGCAAATCAAACTTAATACTTGTAACGAAATAAGCACTTAACGGACCAAAGATATTGCAGCAATCCAAAGCAGTAACGTAATGACAAAATTCATAACCTTAAAAATGACCCAAGCAATCAGAACAAATATGAAAAAAATTATCAAAATATTGAAACATGGTTTAAAAATGCTCAATCTAGAGGGCTAAAGAAACTGCCATGAAAACAGGAAGACAAAATACATTTACCGTCTAAAAATGCTTCGTTGATTATGATAAATAAAAGCTCTTTTTAGTTCACTTCTCTGTACTTCTTTTTTCCCATAGTGCCAATTCAATGAACTTTAAAATAAAAGGTTGGAAAAAAAATGATATTCCAATATTAGATGGGGGAATTAAAAAATGTTAATAAAAATATTTTTAAAAGTAAGAATCAAGATTTTAACATTTTAATTGCTTATGAGGAAGTTAATGTAAAGTGGGAAATAGTAGCTAATTATATTAAGAAATGTTGCAAAGTATATTTTTGGAGTATAAAAAAAAACTCTTAATAATAAAAATAGTTTGTGGTGAAATCAAAATATAAATAAAAGATAAAAAAAAACTTTATTATAAAAATTGGCCTACATACAAAATTTTAGAAAATTGAGAAAGATATGGAGAGACAAGTAGGAGTCTAAGAAAGCAATATGCTTTAAAATTAAGTGTTGCAGAGATGGTGGTGAGACCTGTAATGCTTTATAGAGCAAAATGTTGACTATTAAAAGACAAGCATAAAATTAAGTGTTGTAGAGATAAGGATGCTTAGATGGATGAGTGATTTTACACTTAGAGAAAGAATACGAAATGAGTATATAAAATTAAGTATGAGCCAATGCAAAATGGTTAAAGTAGCTCTAGTGACAGATAAGATTAGAGAGAGCTGCATGGATGGTTTGGTCACGTAAAACGTCAACCTTCCAATGATTCAGTTAAGAGAGTAAATGTATTAGAATTGGTCTATATTAAAAAAGTTAGAGGTAGATCTAAAAGGATTTGATTAGAAAGCATTAGAAATAATCTTTTTTTATTAAATTGAAATGAGAATTTAACTCTTAATATGATACAATGAAGAAAAATGAATTCATGTAACCACCCCATGTAGTAGTGAGATAAAGACTCTCTATATTGTTGTTGCCAATTCAATGAATAATCAGGAATTTATTTTTTTTAGATGTGTACATTTGATTGCTCCTCCAGTGATTAAGAAGATAGAAATAAGCGATTGTTTTATAAGGACTATAAAATTAAAAAGAAAAATAATCCCGAGACGATTCTAAGAAAATTAATTCAATTGAAGGAGAAAATTCTCTTGATTCCCTCATTCGTAAATGATCTGTATAAAACAAACGCTCTGCATTTCTAATTGCGTAAAGAGGTCGAATGAAGCTTTAAGTTACCTGAGATAGAGATTGGCAAGCCGCTGATGCGCTCTTAAATAACAAGGATCAATCCTGATAGCCTGTCTGCACTCCTGCAAAGCTTCAAGGAGACGGCCGAGGCCGATTAGCGCTGCCGCTTTGTTGCTCCAGTAAGAAGCATTTTCTGGATCAATCACTATCGCTCTATCGTAGAACGCCACGGCCTCCGCATACCTCCCGTTCTTATACTCCTCGTTCCCCAACTCCTTCAGCTCTTCAGGATCAAGTCTTCTTGAAAGCGCCCGGCACATGGACACCGGAATCTCAGCCTCATACTCAGAGCTACTTCTACGCCTCACCTCCGATTCCATCTCTTTTGCCGTCTTGGGGAGATAGTCGAGGACATCGCGGTTCGGAGTGACGGCGCCGGGAGCTCGGAGGTTTCCCAAATTGCTGTAAAGCATGACGTTACCAGAGGAAGCGCGGACAAGGGTATTGCTCCCCTTGGCGCGTTGGTGATCGTAGATCATACTGTCGAGATCTGCCGATATGCTGCTGGTGGTTTGTGGCCGCACGCCGCGACCAGCGGATGGCCGATTGGTTTGATCTGGGGGACACGCGGCCGCGGCAGGCTTGGGGGAGACTAGGATCTTTGGTGTGACGGCGGCAGGGGATTGGTCGGGGCCAGGACGCCGCCGCTTGGTACTATGGCTGCTTCCACCAGAAAGGGAGGCATTGGCGACAATAGGGGAAGGAGAGGGGTGGCGAGGAGAGACGGGGGCTGATCCAGCACGGCGGCGGAAGAAGGCGTTGTAGAGAATGAGCAAGCCACAGCTGGAGGAATTTTTGTCCTCATTTCCCATTCGTCGCTGTCGACGGGATGATTGCCTTGCGGAGGGATTGGAAATTGCGTCTGGGATTTGGTTAATCGGACCTCAAAAAGGAAGATGAAGCATTCATTCTTCAAATTTGGATTTAGAAAACATTGATTTTGGTTAATCTCTGAGAATGGAGGAAGAATAATGATCACCCGGAGGCATTGTAGGTTCAAATGAGTTGTCTCTGATCAGGGAGGCGAACATTGGCTGAAAAAGGAAGAGAGAGGAGGAAAGAAGATGACGGTGGAGGAAAGAGAAGATATAAGAAAATTGCAGGAAATTTTTCCGAGAAAAGAGGGGGGCGGAGAGTGAGAGAGAGAGCGGGAAAGACGGATGCGGGAGAAGCGGGCTCCCTTTTGTTGATGTCCTAAGCTCCGGGAGAAGCGGTGGCCGGGCCGCTTCGCCGGCGGCTAATAACGGACACGCGGGCGAGAAAACAGGCGACGACGTGAGGGGGCTATAGTTTTTTTTTTCTTCTAATTTTTAAAATTTCAATTAAATTAGTAGATTAATGTAAAAGTACACGTATTCTTCCAATCGAGTATTGCACGTAGTTCGTTAGTCGTTACATTCCATCATTGAATATGTCATCAGTTTATTCACAACCGTCAAATTTCTCTCGACTTTTCTCTCTTTTAATATTATTAATTATATTTTTAAGTTGGATTATATAACTAGGAATATAATTTTTATTTTTTAATGAAGACTAATTTAAAAACGATGGAGACATGCTTTAAAACTATTCTAAATCTATATTGAATTGCTTCATAAATAATCAATTTATTTAATATCAACTGCCAATAGATTATAGATACTCCTTACACATATAGATACACCAATATGTAGGACTTAGTAGGAATTAAATGTGAATGATACATCTTAAATATTTATTTTGTCAATTCAACTAACCATCCAGATCACTCAGAGACGAGCTACCTAGTCTAAGACTAATCTTAATTCATAGTGTTTGTAGAGTAAGCATGTGATATTAACCTTTATTTGACATCATGATATTCCTTAGCTTACATTCGAACAATACGTTATGATGGGATGAGAGATTGTTTTGTGACATCTTGATGATATTCTAGATTGTTCAATTATAACTTTTCCCCATGCATTCACTATCTTAAGAGGGATTAATTGGTAGTTCTAAATTTTAAAGCTTGAAAAATATATTTTTATTAATTTTTTGAAAAAGTAAAATTAGCAAGCAATTTTTCCCAACAAACAATAAGTGATTTAAGTAGTCAAATTTGATCTAAGATAAGAGTGCAATGATAAAAAGTTTTCATCATAGGTTTTTCTTCACTAGATATTGTTAGGAAAGTTGGTATTTGTATGTTTTACATTATTGCAACTTGTATAGTTTTGATGATTCCAAATATTATTATTTTATATGTTGTTATCTCCTAATATTTTTTGGAAGATTTATTTTTGCTCTTGTGTGTACTAATATTTCAGGAAAATCGAACTCCAGACTACGAGACTTCAAATCAAATTCAGCATTAGATACTTTGTGAATTTGAAGCTTGTACTTTTTATTTGAATTAAATTTGAGAGGGAGTAATTGTAATTGAGTGAATAAATTCACACACACTGAAGGAGATCTTGAAAAAGTTTTGTACTGATAGGACGGGATGAACATTGTTCGTACGGGACGATCAGATCAGTTATCTCCTTGTAAGAGCAATGGAACGGACAGGAACTGAACTGGAAAATTTTTCTAAGTCCTGATCATCCAGGACTAAATATTTTCGTCTCAGGATGAGTTGGGCTATGTAAAAATTTCTTCCAGACGAAATCATTTTCGTCCCAGGACGAGTTGATCTCTGTAAAAATTTCGTCCAGACGAAGTCCTGTTCATCCCAGGACGATGGGAACCGACTATAACAGTTTATGGCAACGTTCTGCAGTTTTCGTAACCGACCATTGATATAACTATTCATACCGGATGAAATTTTTTATCCCAGGATGAACCTATTCGTCCCAGGATGAATTTAGTTCGTACTGATGCACAAATGGTTTGTACGGGACAGTTTTTTAAATAGTTCGTCTGTACTAACTCAGGTTCGTACGGGACGATCCACTACGTAGAAAAACTTGAAATTAGCAATTTTTTAGATGGGTTTTCATGTCCTTTCTATATAAGGAGTCCTAGAAACTATTACAAGTGCCTTTGGAGTTATTTTCTCTTGAGAGGGATCATTGAGTGTGAGTGTTTGGGAGAGATTGTATGAGTGAAGAGTGAGAGATCAAGTGAGGGGTTTGTGCGGGATTCACAAGGTCACTTGAAGAAGAAGATTTCTTTGTTTCTGACCATCTCCTATGAAGGCTCTCAAGTGAAGTTCAACAACATCGGTCCGGTTCTCTGCCGACACTTGGAGAGTGTAAAAGTATGACAAAGTGTATCTTTGACAGTTATTGTGTCTTCGTTCTTTTGGAGAAAACAAGAAGAGAGAACTTGAAAGGGAGAGAGGAAAGGGTGGAGTTTGAGAGGGAGAAGATCCTTGGAGGGGATTTCAAGGGAGTGTGGAGGGGATATTTACACAGTTGCTCCGACGAACTTGCACCTCAGTACCATCGGATTCAAGGGTCATCTTGAGGGAAGTTTTGGGAAGAAGAAGATCTCTTTGGTGTTAAAGAACCCGGCTCCTCTGCCGCACCGGGAAAGGTGAAAGTGATTTTGTACAGGCTTCTCCGCCTTGCTGTGGGGGAAAAAGGAGAGTCACTTTGTGGTATTAGTGGAATACTCGGAGAATGCCTACGGGGAGTGGACGTAGGTCAAGGTTTGACAGAACCACTATAAATCTGGTGTGTTCTTTCTTATTTTTTAATGGTTATTCTGTACCTTTACGTATTATTAATGGAATCTAAACTGAGACCCCTTTTTCTGAATGGAGTAGAGTAGAACAAATTTATTCTTAATTAAATGCTAAATGTATGAATTGTTTGTTCTGTGCTTTAAATTCTGAAGATTATTTGAGAATCTCTACATGTACTACCGGCAAGGAAATTTTGGATAGTTTATGCATTACATATAAAGGTACTAGTGAGGTCAAGCAATCTAAGTTGAATATTTTAATGCATGACTATAAACTCTTTAGCATGAAACCTTATGAGACGATCTTAGACATGTATACTAGGTTTATTCAAATTGTAACATCATTGCATGTCTTAGGTAAAGAATTTTCAAACTTTGAAATAGTCAATAAAATTCTATATTGTTTACTTGATAAGTTTGATGCCAAAGTTATTGCTATTTGCAAATCAAAAAATTTGAATGAATATTCTATTGATAATTTGATTGGCTCACTCATTTCCTATGAGCAATGTTGGGTCAAAGACTTTTGGATGGAGGTGAAATAATAATGTTAAAAGCAGAAGATATGGTGAAAAGTGGCTTAGTTGGTGAGGAAAGCGATTACTTAACAAGCAAATTGAAAAGTCCACTAAAGCATAAGCATAAGTATCAACAAAAATGAAATAAAGGTAAAAATGGTAAGAATATTCAAATTTCTTCAAATATTATTTACTTTGGATGTAGAAAATCTGGACATCTAAAAAGTCAGTGTCCTAATTTGAGGACTCTTCTTGCTAAAAAAAAGGTAAACCTAAGCAAATTGTAAAAAGGGATAATAATGAAAAGCAAAAAATCTCCTGGGCAGATCTAGCTTCTGAATCATCAGACCAGGAGCAAAATGATGTTTAAACCCTTTGTTTATGTGTTTTTTTGTGCATGTTTTTTATTTGTTGTATTTTTATTTTTGTTTGTTTTATGTGTTTTTTTATGTTTATTTTTTAGTGTTTTTGTATGATTTTGAAATATTTTCACATCTGATTCCATGTTTTAGATCGACCGTGCAAATTTTTCTATTGCGTATTGTTTAATTTTTGCAATACATATCGTACTGTACGATCTCCTGATCGTCCTGAATGATTTGTATTACTTCTTCTGTACACATATAAATGGCTATATGGGTAAAATGTTGAGAATAAATCTTTTTGTGAGACATTTGGAATGATATGAAGATTTTTATAGTTTATATACTTGTGTTTTGTACTTGTATTGCTTTAGATTTTTTGAATATTTAAGTGATTTTGTTCTGTGTTTGAAATGTTCGTTAGCCTATATGAAAATTTCTAAAATTTTGGATCTTATAAGTGATATACTTTGAACTGCAACATAAAATTGAATTCATTAGAAAATCTAATTTTTCTAAATTTAAGTTGTGTTTATAACTTGATATTATTAAGATTGTCAATTTCATGTCTATTATTTAGACTATATTAATTTTTTATATTATTATTGAAATTATATTGTTTTTTTATTTTGTATTTCACTTATCAAATAATATTTATGCACTTAGAAAAATTTAAAATTTAAAATTATTGATTTTGGAAAGAATTCGATTACTCTTGAAAAATATACAAGTGTACAAAAATAAAAAAAGAAGGCACTAAGGTTTGAAATGTGAAAAAGATTCACAAAAATGTGCCATAAATTTGAAAAAGATGCGCAAAGCACCACATGTGATAGTTATTTCTTTCCAGACTCTTTTAATCTCTTAATTCAAATTAATCTTATGTACATTTATATTCTGTATTGAAATTTAAAATTAAAAATTTAATATTCATCTTTTTTGTAATGATATTCTTTATCTCAATGTCTAAATTGATTCATATTTTTGATAATTCTTTTTTATTATCGTTGTTATATTTCTTCTTAAATCATATGAATCATTTCATTTGCCTAATGTTTTTTAAGTTTATTTGCAAATTTATCTCAACCACTTTTAGGATCAATTATCAAAGGTTTCTCATATGACTTATTACATTTATATTATTTTTCTTCTTCTCTTTTTGCTATTGTTAAAAAGGGGAAGAAATTATTTTTTTGTTTGTTCTATCGTATCGTTGTGTATTTATTTAGTGTATGTGTGTTTGTTTTATTTTGTATATCTAAAATTTTTGAAAATAAAAATATATTTTTTTATTTAAATGCCTCCTTATTTTCATATGTTCATTAATTTAGGGGGAGTTTAAGAGATTCTTAGAATTTGAAATTATACAAACAATAATTGTTTTGCCATCATCAAAAAGGGGGAGTTTGTTAGGAAAGTTGATATTTGTATGTTTTACATTCTTACAACTTGTATAGTTTTAATGATTCCAAATATTATTATTTTATGTGTTATAATCTCTTAAAATTTTTTGGAAGATTTGTTTTTGCTCTTGTGTGTACTAATATTTCAGGAAAATCGAACTCCAGACTATGAAGTCTTCAAATCAAATTCAGCATGAGATACTTTGTGAATTTGAAGCTTGTACATTTTATTTGAATTAAATTTGAGAGAGAGTGATTGTAATTGAGTGAATAAATTTACACACACTAAAGGAGATCTTAAAAAAGTTTT